AAGGATAGTTATGATAATTCCATCTTCCAATTTCAATTCCCTTTTTTCTTATTTTGTCATGCATTTTTCCATCTTTCCATCATGTTATTTTTAAATTTCTCCATCTGTTTTCATATTATTAGATTCCTTTTATTTCCATTTATTATCATTTAAATCATTCATTCTCAAAATTCATGGCCATACATGAAACACCATGTAAAAAGACCCTTAAATGCACACAAGGTTCACATCACTTTAGAACACTTGGTGGGAATGATTCCTAGTCATTAGATTGATCTAAGTGAGGCTCAAGCACTTCAAAATAATCATAATTTCATGCTCCACAATCACAACTCACTCATTCACATTTTTCACTCATCTTCCACCTCCATTTATCTTCATCTTTTCTCTCAAGAACATCCATGAACCTTAAAACCTCTTCCCCCATTTCTCCACCTTAAAATCCTTCATTTTACCATCCAAACCCACCATTCAACTCTTCTAATATTCCATACCATAACCCACTAAAAAAATCCACCATCTACTCTATTTCCATGTTAGTTAAATCTTAAGGTCTTTATTCATAGTAATTTTCAAAGTTGGCCAACAAGGAAAGGCTACGGGGATGTTAGTGAGGAGTGGCCAGGCTTTTCTTCTTCTCCTAGGACGCATGGATGGACTCTATTTGAGCTCTTAATTTTTAGGAGTTTCTCTTATCTCTCACTTTTTGTTTAATTCCTTGAATTTTGATGCCTTATGATATGGCAGTAACAATGATTGTTAAAATTAAACTTTGTGATACTTGGTTAAGTATTGTATGAGATTATTATATTGTTTACTTTCCATTGATGTGCTACAATTCTGAATTTAGGGGTATCCAAATTTAATTTTATTCAATTCCCTTGTTGCATTAATTTCTATTCACTTCATGTGAGCTTGTAAATCACAGTTATGCATTTAGCACACTTAGTTTTGGCTAATCATTTTTTTAATCAATTTGAGGTCTCATTTGGTTAAGGCAAGGGCTAGAATTAATAATTAGCTTCATAATCAATTTATCATTTTTAAGTATAATTAGTTCTAAGAATTAATTTAAAGTCTTAATTAATCTAAAAAACTGAGAGTGCTAATTCTTAGTGATTACTATGATGTCTTTTAAACCAACTGGACTCACAAGGGAATTATTTAGATAGAGCAAGGATAAGAGAGAGAGAGTTTATATGCCTATAAAGACCATCAATTTTCATTTTAATCACACATTTCAAACATTTTCTAAATCTGTCCAAAATCTTGAAAATACCAAAAAAATTAGTTTAATTTAATCTTTACTTGTTTAATTCCTAATCAACCAAATTGTTACCGTTCTTGATAGATTTAAACAAGTCAACTCTATGAGAGATACAACCTAAGTTACTCTTTATACACGTTAGAGTATTTCTTAGTTTAATTTAGTACATAAGTAACTAGTACACATCCTTATACCCTCTTAATACTTTTGACATGAAATCGTTGGCTATTTAGTAAATTTTTGTCCTTACAATTAGACTAGCCAAGCCTTTTGCTTGTGAGGAATTGCTCAATAAAGACTATTAAACTCACTTGTAAGTTAGTCATGATTTCTCCCAATACTAACAACCATGGGGTATTATATTTCTAAACTAGCCTCCTTATGCACCGAAGAAGATAAATTGGGTTCAAGTCTCTTGAAGAACAAATAGGACAGTCCTTGGACAACAATAAAATAATGGCTACTTTCTAATTTTAAAGGTTGACATCTTGGCTAGCTTTCGATTCAAACAATAAGCAACCAATACCACATAAATTTTATCACCGCCCTTCTCCCTAAGCAAACTCCTGTCACAAATGATCATGCCATGCACATAATATCAACAATTCATAATTTTTGTTTCTACCATGATCATGTAACTTGTTAAATTATCACAATTTGCACACACACATGCACAGAGACACACAGAGAGAGATACATATCATGTAACTTGTCAAATTACCACAATTTACATCAAACATGAGTTTACCAACATCAACTGGATTTTAAAAATTCATTTTAACATATAATCAACTAAATAAGCAAATATACAGTTTAAATTTTTCCTTATTACCTCAAACATTTGAGAGATCAAATATTTACCCTCAATAACCAACACTTCTAGAGCTTTTTTCAAGCTTGAATGATGCCACAAGGTAATTAATCTATAATTAATCACACCAATCATTATCAATATCCTCGTTAGAATAATTCTTACTATTTACTCAACACTTCTATCACTATAACAATTTTCAATCCCTCACATTCAAACTTAACCATAAGTTATTTAGCCACCTTTAACTCACATTAACTTTATTGGACCATTAAACTATCATTAATGGCTATCAAACACCTCCAAAAACCCTCATTAATATCCATTTTTTGGGTATTTATTACACTTCAACTCTAAAATTCATAAAACTATTAATATTAAGTTTAAATAACTTAAAAAATTCTCATTAATCAATGAGTTCTAGCCCATAGCCATTATAGACTGAAAATCACCATAATAATACAAACCTTAACTATCAAAATGGTGTAGAGAGAAAGAGAAGATGTAGGTGAAGACTTACCAAGATGTAGTCAAGTTCAAATCACCTTAAATCCTCCAAAAATGGCGTGACCTAGCAAAGAAAATCCTTAATTCTTCAATTTCTTTCTTTATGTATGATTCTTGCTTTTATTTATATAGAAATGTGACCATGCGTTGTATGGAGAGGCCTATTCCTCTCAAATTGGGGTGCAAATGCCATAGTAAAGGTTGTGCATGCTGCAGCATGTGACATAGTCTCATAACCCTCTATTTTCTCACTTTTTAATATCTAGGTGACTTGATTTTACTTCAAACCTAAAATTAGGGTTGAAACCATAAATCAAAAACATTGGTTAGACTTTTCTGGCTACACATCATATTGATTTATTAAAATATCCTAATTTGACTTAGTTAATCAGGGTTAAATTTTTAGAATGTTATAATGGATGGGATACACAATTTTTACATGCATATAGAGAGGGTGATTTTTTTGATGATTGATTAGTTAATTGGAGTCTAACCTAAGAGCATGGCTTACAGTTACTTAGGAGTCCTCATAGAGGTTCATTTGAGTTTTTGCATCGAGACATAATGGGTATGAATTTTGTGTATTTTTTTTGGGTTGTTTCCCCATATTCAATAAAAAAAAAATAAAGTTGAACACCCATGTCATTTTGATGAACTCTCAACTCAAATTGGGAGAGAATTTTCTCCTCTTCCTTCCCATCATCTTCTCTTATTTTCCCTTCCTAACTACTAAATCAAGATTTAGATGGTGTAGATTTGATATATAATAAAATTATTATAAAAATATTAAATTATAGAAAATATAAGTAATAAAATTCAAACTACAAAAAATTAATAGAAACAATTAAAAAATATAGTAAAGGTAAAATAAAATTAAATATTTTGGAGAAGATCAAATTTAAATCTAAATTATCCAAAATCTTAATATAATAATTAAAAATTAAGAAGAGGATGGGAGTCCTCCCCCATTGAGATGAGGTTAGCTTCTTTCCACTATGTTTTCCTTTCATTACTTGTCCACTATGAATTTAAACCATTTAAATTAAATATATATTTTTAAAAATTATTAAATCTAAATTATCAAATTTAATTTAACAGTTTAAATTTACAATGGATCCTTTTTTTTAGAAAAGGAAATCCAACTCCTATTGAGACCACCCTAAAAATGTATGGGTTTTAAAAATTTTGGCTTTTTTTTTTTTCAGTGAGCCTAGGTATGATGATGACCACACAGAAGAGGAAGGTCAATTTCAATTAAGCTCAATACATTTACCAGGATCAAAATAATTTCTACCCAACAAAAAGAGTCGTCAAATTTTCACATTTTATAAAATGTTATTTAGTGATTTAATATTTCACAATATAAAAAATTTTAAGAAAAATAATGATCCATTATCAAAACTTATTTTAAAATTATCCTTTTCACTCTCTAAAAATCATCTGAGAAATTGGGTTGGTCCAAAATCTGAATGGACTTTATCTAAATTACTCCTAACTTATCCCAATTTAAAGAATACATGATTCCCTGAATTCCATCTTAAAAATTTTAGAAAAAAATATAATTTTAAATCTCTATATTTTATTTAAATTTTTTTATAATTTAATAAAACTATAAGATTTTAAAATATTAAAAAAAGTATAGAAATTTAGAGTGAAATTTAAATAAAATGTTGAAATTTAAAGTTATGTTTTTTTAAAATTTTATTCGAGCTTGCTCACGCAACTCGGCCTGAATCACCACTGGTTATATGCGGGTGTATCTACTGTTTAACACTTTAACTGTGTACGTACTATTTAACGCGGGCACGTGAAATGGAATTTCAACGTAAAAAATGGCACATAAACTGTCATGTCATGACATAGGAGGTCGATTACTGAAGACGCAGGGACCCACCATGGATTTAGCAAAACATTCAACACAACACAATGCTGCTTCTGCCGTATCCTCCCTACACCATTGCCTGAACGTACCCCATCACTAGTGCTTGCTGACCTCATCCCTAAATCTCCTCTCTTTGCTTTTTCTGTATCCGATACACGCTAGGATGCACATAGGGAATCACAGTGGACGACATGTAACCCCTCCCCCCATCTCATCCCGCCACATGTTGCTACGTTGAGTTCCTTGCAAGAGATCCCATGGTTGGCAATTTGGCATCATCCGTTGCCGTTGTTGCAATTGTGGGCTCATAGCATGCAGGAGATGAGAGGGAAGCCGATGGACTGGAATGTACATGTAGGATGATGTTAAATGGGTTTGTTATGACTGAACAATACACAACGTTAATAGTCCTCAGGGAGGTGAAACTGCGAGTTAAAGTTGACGGCATGTCAGCGAGGTCAAATCTCGCTACAGTTAGAAAGAGGAAAGGAGAGAGAATGGAGTGGAGAGGGCGGAGTAAAAACTAAAAACTTGACATGGGGGATGGGGCACCGTGGGATTTTAACATTTTTTAATGGTTTGTCACTTCATAGTTCATCCTTGCCAAAAACAGTGAATAACTCATGAAACTCTAGGACTTTTCAAGCCATCCCTCTTCGATCAAAGCGGTCCCATCTTAAAAATAATAAAAATAATAATAATTCTGTGCCCTGTTCATGGATCCCAAGGGCTCAAAGCAATCGCAGGAGGTACCCAAGTTCTTGAGTCTCCCACAGCCCCAAGCGAACATCATGGGAGAGAACAAGCCGGCTGAAATCAAGGATTTCCAGATTGCGATTGCGGATAAAGAAGACAATAACAAGAAGCAGCTAGCGCCCAAGAGGAGCTCCAACAAAGACAGGCACACCAAAGTAGAAGGCAGAGGAAGGAGGATAAGGATGCCGGCGCTGTGTGCCGCTAGAATCTTCCAATTGACCAGAGAGTTGGGTCACAAATCTGACGGCGAAACCATTCAGTGGCTTCTCCAGCAGGCGGAGCCGTCGATCATCGCAGCCACCGGAAGCGGCACGATTCCCGCATCAGCTTTAGCTGCCGCAGGCGGCTCTGTTTCGCAACAGGGCACTTCTCTGTCTGCAGGATTGCATCAGAAAATTGATGAATATGGGGGGTCCAATATTGGGTCGGGCAGTAGGACCGGGTGGGCTATGGTGGGCGGAAATCTGGGGAGACCCCATATGGCTACTGGTCTATGGCCCCCAGTTAGTGGGTTCGGGTTTCAGTCATCATCGGGTCCATCCACACCAAGTCTTGGAAGCGAGAGTTCAAATTACCTGCAAAAGATTGGGTTCCCTGGGTTTGACTTGCCTGCGGCAGCAACGAACATGGGTGCCATGAGTTTCACCTCAATTTTGGGCGGGGCTAACCAGCAAATGCCCGGGTTGGAGCTTGGTTTGTCTCAGGATGGTCATATCGGTGTTCTGAACTCACAAGCCTTGTCCCAGATTTATCAGCAGATGGGTCAGGCTAGAGTACACCAGCAGCAGCAGAATCAGCATCAGCATCAGCAGACTCCTGCCAAGGATGATTCTCAAGGCTCTGGACAGTGATGCAAGTAGTATTGCCCGTAGGCAGAGAATTCTGCAAATGGCTTTTCTTATTGTATGATTGGGAGACGTGTGCAAATAGATACCTGAAGGAATTCAATAGGACCTGGATTTGGCTTCCCCCCTCCCCCATCTTTCCTATTCATTTGCTGCACCACTGAAGTCTCCAGAAACAGGTGCCTCGAATTTTCTTTTAGTTTAAATTTCTTTCTTTTAATCTGTCCTCGCGCATGGGCTGTTGTTGATGTGTTGCTTATGATTTTCACTTGCAGGTGGAGTTGCACTGCCACATAGCTTGGGTTTGGGCTTAATCTCTTGTTTAATTCGGAGGTGTGTTGAATATTACTTTGTAAGGAATCGATTACTTTTTTCCCCCGCTATAGGTCAGGATGGAGTGATCATCTGTTTGTTTGTGAAAGTAATGGTTTAGTTTCATAATCATATTTTGCTAAATCTTATTGCATCTTGGACTTCATCTTTGTCATCTGAAAGATTCTGACCCAATGGCTTCCTGGTACACTAAATAAACCTGAAACTATATTTCCACACACAAGCTGCCCGTTGTTACCATTTCGAATTTCAGGTTCAGATGTTGTCCTATTTCTTTGCAGACAATTGAGCAGTTTCCATCAAATTGATTGTGGGGAACTTTTTTTTTTGGGTCCTTTTGGATGTCATTTGTTTTTTGAACCCCTTCTTCAGTTGTGCTTTCTTTTAAGAATTTGATATCGTGGACCTAAGCATCCACATCTGCAGCTCTGCATTATTGTCAAAGATAGCAAATTTCCCTTTTCTTTCACGGGTTTTTCGCTTCTGAAATTTAGTAACTGAAATGGATTAGTAAGCTGGAAAAATCGTATACTGTTCTTGATCCAAAGAAGTCATGTGGCGTTCACTTATTGTAAAAGTCATCCTTTTCTGTGTCAATCGAAGTCCGAAACCAGTGTGTACTGCTACAGTAGAGCTTGAGTATCCATAACTGATGTTAGCAAATACTTCTTACTTTTGAGAATGGGCGAAGGCCTTCCTCATCTAGGTTAAGAAGCGGAACTAACAATCTGTTTGTGATGTCCTATTTCTCCACTATTACTTCCATGCACGTCAGCAAATTGAACCAATCGCTGTTCGCTAATTAGCCATTCTAATAACTAGCTGAAATCTGGAATAACCTCTTGTTTCTGAAGCTTGCATGGTAGTAAGATGTCAGGTTGTTGTGTTAAGCCTGTTGAAAAGATAAAGCATCTTAAAGAACACAGCGATGTCATTATTGATTGTGGAACGTTAAAATTAGCGTTAAGTTATGAACGAGACTTGGAATTGCTGCTCGAGAAACTATGGGACAATCTGTCAAGATCTGAAACTTCTTTGAGTTTCTATGACATCAAGTTGTCAAGTTATGCTAGTGGATATGTGGTAATCTCCATGGTGCCCGGTGAATCGCTGCTTTGCTGTAGTTTCTGGCTGCAAGTGCTTCTATATTTGCTTTCATCATGTAAACTCATGTCATCTCATCTTGTCAACTTTGTAAACTCGTGGATTTTGTGCTCTCAAGCTTCAATTGGTGTCGCTCAGTATATGACATTAGTGGAAACTTTATGAATACGATCAGTTGTATTCTACGTCACCTTTAGTACAAAAGCAACGCTAGCAAACATGTATGGTGTAAATATCACTGGCTTCATTGTACAAAACCTTGACGATTATTGGTTACATACTTCACGATGATTATAGTTGATTTTGTACAATATATGCAGAGTTCTATTAGATTTTTGGAATTGTCACAGCACTGGAAAATATAGAGAGAGGTGATAGTTTTTTTTTTTTTTTGGGTCTACTAAAACCTTTTTTATTGTAACTCAGTACTGAAGAAGCGATATGGTTGTGCATCAACTGTAATGGAAGTTTGCGATTAATTTCAGTTGTAAACCTATCAGCATAATAATAGGTTCGGATATATCCAAGTTTGGATCTATATTCCTAGTCTTTGCCTAAGCAAATTTATATCAGCTTCCTGATCTATGATTGTAATAGGTGGTCTGTATGCACTCTTGGTTTAAATTTTCCTTGACTCTCCTCTCATTCCTTGTCAACATGTGTCGGTTAGCAATAAGAGGAGTCGCCGACCAGGACTTAGTTTGCGTGGAATATTATATATCTCTTCCCATTATTGCGATCAGTCTCTTGGTTCATGAAGGGCTTACTATTTTGTTAGCCGACTTTGAAATTGTTAATATGGTAAGTAATGTGAAGGCCATCATTTCTTCTCATCCCAATCTCACTGAGCTTGAAATTTATAACTACACTTTCACTTACGCATTCACCAACTCATATCATTATTACCAACAGCCTCATTTCTTGAAAGACACAGCATGCACATCAACTTTTTTCAGAATAGGAAAGTGTTTCTGAAGTTTAAATCGATTTTGACCATAGCCATGAAATCTAGCGGAAACAGGTTGGAGGAGGAAAAAAAAAATGCATCAGACAATATCATTGCATACCAGCCTAAAAAGGGTTCTTAAGGAGGTTCCTTGCAAAAATTTGACCACCATGTGTTTTCAATCTTCAACTTTAAGCTATGAACTGTATTTTCTTTATTTGGGCGTGCCGTCTTTTTCAGTGGGCTCTGTACGTCATTGAAGTGCACCACCCATATCATTCGTGATAATATGGCTACAGTGACCAGAGTTGCATCCTCACTTCCTCTGCAAAATTTTAGACGTACTGTGATGGTGAAAGAGCGAGTAGTGAATTAGTGAAAGCAAGCACCTAGTGCGTAAGCTCACACTAGTTGGTACATCACGTATGTGTCTGAAAGTGACCCACCAGAATCTAACAATACATAATTCAAAATGGAATTGGATTTCATATTTCTGTTCCATTTGGATCTTTTTTCATGTTTCAAGCGAGACAATAGAAAAACCTTACAAGATTCTCTTATTCCTCTAACTTGATTGGGCATCCAATGCTCACTATCTTTCTGCTCTCGAGCCACTTTCATACGTGTGAAACTGTTGTGTCTACCTTCTATGTCACATGCATGTATAAACCTTCTTGTCGTGCCATTCTCTAAAAACAAAAGTCAGAAAAGAGAAAGATGGCTTAAGGTCAAGAAAACAAAGGTAACACAATACAATGAAAGCCAACAAAGCCAAAGTGAGAGCAAGAAAAAGAAATAGTTGCCATCAGTATAATATAAAAATGAAGTTGGTTCAACGCATAATGATCATTTCACACGCTGAAAAAGCGAAAAGGAAGTCTCAACATGAATCAAAAAGTATCATTGACCCCTTTAAGCAGAGTAAACAATTAAATGCTATTCTTTGTTGCCTCATTTTTGAGTCAGAACAGAGTGAGATGGACAATTACAATTACAGAGAAGCTCATACAAATGCAAGCACAAAAAGTGGATGGTAAAAAGATATATCTGCAGCCTTCTGGAGTTATGAATAATGGCTCTTACGTGTTATACGATCCGACACTTCAGAGAAAGTTTTTGTTTTTCCGTTTATTAAATCAAGTAAATGTCTGCTTTCTCAATTGGCATCAGATGACTGGATTCAAGTTGGTCGGCAGAGAAAACAAGTTGGTCTAAAAGAATGTTGAATTGGTTATTCATTATCATTATTCAGACTAAAATGTCGTCAAAAGATTGGGCTCGAGCCCAGTTGGGATAAGGTCTCGTTCCATTGGCCCTATTTAGACCCCTCCGTGATGCAAAAGGTTCAGACGCTGCAATATTAATAGTAGCAATACCGTTGAATAGCAGATAATTGATGTAAAACACAGTTTGATAACTAAGTTGTGTGGGTGCAAGTTTCTGTGAAGTGTTGATGAGTGATCCTTTGCCATCTTGACATTGCGTTTACAAAAGAGCGGGAGAAGAAACTAGAGAACAGCCCAGGGTGTGGCTAGGTCATTGAAACCATCACCTAGAGCCTTACAGGAATTAAAAGTCTCATTTAAGTTATAATATTGAATTTCGCTTTGTAAAACATGTAATAGTACGAAATTTAAAGATAAATTATAAAAAAAAATGACCTTGCTTCTTCACATAAAAATAAACTGTTTGAATCATTTTATCACGAAACACTGATAAATGATTTTGCAACTCGTGAAAATAAAAAATAATATGCAATAAATATATGAGTTGTATTACATGATATTAGATTTCTGTAATAATTTTGCTTTAGACCTCAAAATTTCTAGACACCGCCCTGGAACACAACCCCAGCTACTTGGATCTTACAAAGATTTGAGATAAGAAAGTACATATTCTTTATCCAAATCTCGACCAAATCTGTTCACGCCAGATACCATTCACATATTATGCCAGCAGATAATGAGAATGGAGGCGTGTGCTGATGAATCTTATTCAAGTACGTCGCGAATCACTTATTGCATTTGTACTTGATAGATGATAGCCTGAGGTTGGGTTCGTGCTTATAGGGAAAATATGATTGCGTAAGACTGTGTTAAGAAGAAGTGAAATGATACCCTACTAGACAGACTTTTTTATTATTAATTCAGCACAAGTATCAAGTAAGATTGCTTTTAATTCTGACTTTTTAAATGTCGTTTGATCTATAAAATGAAATGGAATGATTTCTGGATAAGAAAAAATTATTTTTTAATTAGTTGATAACAGCAAATGTATAATAGATATATACATCACGTCTTATTTCAAAGGAGAGAGAGAGAATCTTTCCTCTTCTGCCTGAGAAAACAGTTAAATATATGAATCTGCGGCGTTAAAATGTTCGATATAAAAGAATAAAGACTGCAGAACATTGAGTTGGAATCCAGCTAATACACGTAGAAAGCACACTTTTAAAAAATATAATTTTTAATCCTTGATTTTTTTTTTCAATTATCAATTCACTCCTTACATTTTAAATCAAAACAATTCAACCTTAAAGTTTTTTGAACACTTTTAAGAAAGCTTCATAATTTCTTGATTTTAAAGACGTTAATCCTTATAGTTTTTTAACTCAATACAAGTCAATATTTATAATTAATTCCTCAATTTAATAAACTATAAAAAATAAATTATATTGAGTTAATTAGGGTTGAAGAGCTGAACAATATGGAGGGAAAGTTTAAAGATCAAAGCTTATACCATCCCTTAATATAATAATGAAGCGAGGTGTTTGGGAGCGGATTAAGAATGAGCTACCATAAATGTGGTGCTTGGTGATATTTGAAGTCCATATAGACAGATATGAGAGAGAAATAATGACAAGGTGACGAGCGTTGGCATTGCTGATATGATACCCGATAGACGATGGCAGGAAAATGGGATCACGTAAGTGTGAAGAAGAAATTAAAGTGCAAAGAGGAATGAGAATAACGGAAGTGGGTGGGTGGGTGGGGAAAAATGTGAAGGGAATCGATTTAAAGGTGAAATAGATAGCTAACATATTCTAAAGGAGAGGCATCAACAAGGAGCAAGCATGGTATCTAGAAAAGCTCGCCACGAGCTTGGTTTGGTTGGATTATTCAAATCCAGGTAACCTGAGGATTAAAAAACAGAAAGCATTTCTATTATCTCTATAGTTATAGTTTTATTGTAGTATAAGTTTCTGTAATTTTTTTTGCTTTGCATTGTTTCAAGCTGCTCTAGTTTATTCTATGCACAATATTATTCTTTTCTATTTGTAATGCATGAAAGAATGATGAAATTGCATTAATGATATCAAATATGTTGGCATGTAATTAATATTGTTAATCTTCGTATTGAGGAAAATTATACTTCAACAGATTAAGACTTGAAACTTGAAAGAAAGTAAGGTAGACAACACTATTAATTTGTAATTTCACTCAATATAGATTAACGACTTCAATTATGGGCCAACGTATTTAATTTAACATCAATAATGTCATCATCTCATCTTTCAAAAATTATCAAGATTCATTTTCCATAAAAAAATTCAAAAAAATCTTTAACATCAAAATGCTTCTTACATAAAACGTCCCCTACAAAAATATTTATTAGATTGGATACTTTTTAAGTATTATATAATAAAATCTCTTACAATTATTAATCAAGTCAAACAATTGTTATCATACAACCAAAATTAAATAAGCGAATTTATGCCACTTTCCGTATCTAAATCCTTGTTAATTTCTCTATAAAAAAATATACAAGGTATCTTTTCTTATGTTGGATGTTTAAAAATATAAAACATATTTAGTTTCTCTATACATAAATAATGATTTTTTTTTCAAAAATACTTTAACAATTTTATAAGAGATATAATTCAATTAAATATACTTTATATTTTTATGACTTAAGGTCCAATTTTATTCTTAAACTTATTTTTTAGGAACACTGGGCACCATATACTCTTAAGTAAGATAATTTTGTCCCTAAAATATTTTCTCAAAGTAAAAAAACTCCCTTTTATTAGGAAACCATTAACTGTGCCATTTTCTACTGACGTGGTATATGCGTGAGACTTGCATACAGTGAAAAATAAGACTCTAACCATGTCTTTTTATACTAATTTACCTCTAAACTCTTTTTAAGAAGCGTTGGATACTTTAAAATTTTTGTCTAGTAGCACTGAGTACCTTAAAGTCTTATTAAAATAAAATTTAATAAACATTATCAAAATATTAAATATTTTTATATTTAATATTGTAAATATTATTTATAAATATCCATTCAAAGTTTATAAATTACTTTTAAATCTTAACAACTCAAAATTATTAAATATTAAAATATTTAATATTTTAAAAATATTTATTAAATTTTATTTTAACAAGACTCTAGAGTACCCAATACTTATAAAAAAAAACTTTATGGTGTTTTGTGCTTTTAAAAAAAAAAGTTGAAAAAAAAATAGTATGAAAAGACATGGTCAGAGTCTCATATATCATTGTGTGTAGATCTCACACACATGCCACGTCAATAAAAAATAAAAAAAATAATGGTTGATTAATAAAAGGAGATATTTACTCCTTAAAAAAATTTTAAAAGTAAAACTATCTTACTTAAAAATATAAAATGTTTATCACTCTTGAAAAATAAGTAAATGAATAAAATTAAACCTGAGCTCTTTTTTTATTACTTCCCTGACCTTCCACCTCATCCTCACCATGCGCCTCCCTGCGTCTCCTTTTTATCCCTGCGTCTCCTTTTTATTTTTATCCTTTTTCCTTTTCAATTTCTCTTTCATAACAAAACAAATGGGATCTCCCGGCCTTTCTACATGTCTCTCTACAGTCTGCATATTTGCACGCGCACATCATATTCCAAGAGGGGAAATTCCAGTTAAATTTCTTAACTCAAATTAATTTCAATCAGACTTTTTAAAATTTTAAAATTTCACTGCATATATAACAGATTGAAATGAAATTAATAAAACGACTGAAATGATTTTATTATTCTTAGCAAAATGAATAATTAATGTATGGAAATTGAATAATTGATAGAGATGAAATTTACAAACTATAAATATAATTATAAATAAATGGTGCTAAGCTATAAATTTCACCTATATTATTTATTTACTTTTTATATGTCAATTACTCATTTTTTTCACAATAGTTATCCAAGAGTCTAGCTTTATTATGGACAATATAATTATTTTAGTGAGTTTTAATTTCATTTTTTTCTCTTTTTAAGACATAGCATATCAAGCAGAAACAAGAGTATATAATATTGTTAGGTGGTGGACTGCATTTTCACACGCAAGGAAAACAATAAGAGAGATGGACTGCAGGTCAAAAAACTGCATTTATTCATATTGTAATTTTTTTTATCATGTTTTGGCCAAATTTTTTTTTTATCATGCAAGATTTTCGCTCGGTGTATATTTTGGGGAGGACGTTGATGATGACGTGGCGCTGACACATAGGTGGGGTGACGCGTCCCTTTCTGGGGAGGTACCAGCGGCTCGGTAATTAAATCGTGATCTTCGTTGAGTGCGACGGCACATTGAATTATGAGAAAGATGTCTCTGTCTCAAATGTTCAATTTTCTTAATCTCAAGTAAAAAAATTTGAAAAAAAAAAAATCCCCCCTTAAAATATCTGACTCTCCGGAAATGCGTGCACATCTTTGGTAACAAAAAGCGAGAGAACTTAAAAAAAAAAAAAAAAACTCTTAGATATATTTATTTAAATTTTTAATTTTTTTTAAAATTTTATTATAATTTAAAGGTTTTAATTTAATATTAAATTTTAAAAAAATAATAAAATGTCTTCATTTAAATCAACACCAGGATTGTTTTATTTTATTTATTCACTTACTTATAAAATATTATTCATTGTTTTACTTTAATTGTTTATTTTCTTATAATGAAATCAATTAAAAATTTAGTAATAAACAATAGTCTATAAGTAAATAAGTAACATACAATTTAAGAATCAATAAGTTATTTTAAAATTATTTAAACATCAAAATTAAAAATAAATTAAGCAAGGCAATTAACAACATTTCGTAAATAAATGAACAAGTGAAATAGAACAATTAACAAGAAAAATAAAGTAAATTTTGATATTAATTTAAAAGAGAGATAATTTTATCATTTTACTTAAAAATTTAATATTAAATTAAAACTCCTAAATTGTAATAAAATTTTAAAACTTTAAAAATTTTAAATTTAAATAAATGTGATTAAGGGTCTTTTCTTAAAATTCTCCCAATAAAAAGCTTCCTGGATAAAAGTGATTAATTTTATTATTAAATTGAAAAAAGGGGGAATGTTGGGCCTGGGAATATGGGGCCCCCCAGGGATGGTTGCGGTGGTGGGGGCCCAGGGTGCTTATTCGGGTCCACTCACCAACTTCCACGCAGCATCACACATCCTCTGCCCACTTTCACCGTCTGAGAAGGCGAGAGGGGAAAACCTTCGCCTTTTTCTTTTTATGGAGGAGGAGGACAGATATTTGTTCAGATTCTTCCTCCGGAATATCCCTTCGATATAACTTCGGCCTTCTTAAAAGTCAAAACAAGACCACCAAGGCGCAACCCATCCCATGATGATTAATTTAATGTAATTACCCCCCGCCATCCTGTTATACAAGACAAAACCTACCTTCTAAAAAACACCTTTCATCCATATAATTTTTTTAAAAGATATATATATATATATGGATCATCCATGTACTTTCTTAACATTGTATATTACCGCATGGAGTATTTATTATGTGCCAGATTTCCATTTCAATCCTTCAACAGTTTTGATTATTGACACTGTAAATTGTGAATGGAAGTTTGAATGAACGGTTAAATATTAAAAAATATAAAATATTTTTAACATTTTAAAATATAATTAATATGTTTTTTTAAATTAATTAACTATCAACTTTAAATGAAACACTCTGCTAAATAAGGACAATAATAAAAAGATGATATAAATTTAAAAATAATTAACTAATATAAATTAAAAAATAATTAACTAACCTTTTGAAAGTTATGATCTAGTTAAAATGTTTTATATTTTTAATCAGAATAAGTGATATTTTTCAACATGTTTAATATTATGAGAAATTGTTTTTTTTTAATACAAGGTTACAGAAAAATCTGTTCAAAATGATGACAAATCAAGTTATGTTAGAGTATAAAAAATTCATTCACCCATTGGCTAAAAATAAAAAATCTTAATATTTAGATTATTATATGAAGATTGATGTGTAAATCAATCAACGCATTTATATGACAAATTGATTTTAATATACATAAAAAAGTTTGAAACACTTCATAAATAAAATCATAGGATAATACCCCTCATGAAAGTGTTACTTTTCTTTCTTTCTTTGTTTAAAGGAACCTATTTTTTAATATTAAAAAAGGATAAATTCTTATTGATTTATTCAGTGAATTGAAACGAGGGAGGAGGACAAGGATAAAAATGAGGGGGATTTGGAATAGACCCTGCCTGGGGGGATATCCATGATTTGCAATCTGGGAAACACCACGTTGATGACCTCCCTATCACTCTTTTGTTTCCGTCATTTTCCAATTTGTTCATTCTGGAACTAGATAAGGTTTTTCCACACCCTCCCCTCTCATTGTCTCTATTTCTATTGTTTTTCTTTTGGGTCACAGTTGTTTCTATTCTATTGATCGTTCCTCGTCTCACCCGTTGCTCACATCTGTGCAATGTTTTTCCATATCTATCGCTTTCCACGCTCTTCGCTTGCGTTCGCTTCCCTCGTGTTACTGATCCTCTCTTATTGTTTTCTCATCAGAACTCTACAATTCGTTCTTCTTTCATATCCCTTTATGCAAAGTGCTTCTTTTTTAATTCCGACACCTCTTTTCCAACACTGTTCACTAACATGACAACCTTGTTTGTCAAATCTTTCCGCCAAGAAATACAAAATCGCCACCACAATTATTTAGCTCCCCCCTCGTCGCCATCCGCCCATCCCAAATAATTAGTTTTAATCATACTATTGAAATTCGAATCAATTCAACTAATAAACCTAGCATCTTCACTGTCTCAATGGGATGCTTTTGTTGACGATTAATCCGATTATGGTTGTTGATTATCGACCTTTAAACCAATGGCTTTAACGCAAGGGCAAAGCTAGGAATTTTAATTAGAGGATGGGATGACAAAACACATATAATAATAAAAGGAAAGTTAAATTCACACACGTCATTAATTTAATGTAAATATTTCAATGTTTATATTGATATTCAATTTTATAAACATAAAGCAAAAATAAATGAGTACTTTTATTTTTAATTTTTGTTTTTAATTTTTCATGACATAGAAATTATTAATTGCAGTGTTCATAATAAATTTTTTAATAATTTTTTATCAATATAAATTATCATTAAATTGATGAAAAATCCATCTTCTTTTTAAAAATTGAATGACTTACATCATCCTTAAGATATAAAGTTGCGTTCAATTTAAGAGGCTTTATTGTTTGTTCACTGAATTTATTATTTAATTTTTTTAGTTGGTAATCAACGACAATAATAAATAGATCAGTACAACAACAACATTCAACTATCACAAGTCTTCATGTTTGTGAAATTAAATTATATTATAATAAAAATTATTTATATAATATATTTTAATAGTTTGATTATAGCAAAAAGAAATAATTAACTTTTTTTAGATAAATAACTTAATTATAATTTTTAAATTTTTGAGTAAATAATTTTATGATAAATATCAAATATATAATTTAACAGCTTTTCTTTCGTCATTTATTTCTTCCCCAATCGCCAAACAAGTTGAGGGTAGAATCGGGTCGGTGGGCAGAAAATCAGTCGGCGAAGCTGAGATTGCCGGCAATAATAGCGGCAGATCTCCGACTGAGCTGGAGGCGACACGTGTAGTGACACGTCATCGATCGCCATTTCTCTCCCTTGCGATTCATAAGATTGCCGTACGAGTTGATACCAGAAAAGCGAGGGAGACCCAAAAAGGTCAAAAGACATGCGCAACTACTCTTTCCCCAATCAAAGACCGACACGTCACCTCAACAGGCCACATTCCTCCGCGGATTCTCTAAACAACGCAATCGGGGTCCCTTCGTTTGCCTATTAATTATTGAACTTTTCTTCACAATCACATGTCATCTTTCGTTCTTCCTCGTTTTCCCTTGTTCACTCTCTTTATCTCTCTTTGGGATTTCCGTGGTTTTTGGAGGAGGGGGAGCGGGACTCCTGCCTGTAGTATTTTTGTATTCGAGACGAGTTTCTCCTTTTCTTTTCCTTTAGCCAGTATGTTATTGCCCGCGAGGTGCTAAAACTGCTGGCCTGCTCTGAGATTTCGAAAGAGTTTTCGGTATATGTTTTTCTTAAATTTTCAGAAATGGAAGATGAATATGCAAAGCTTATCTGGAGGATGAATCCCCCGAGGTATTTTTTGCCAAATTTGTAGAAGATTTTCTCAGAGGACTTTGGCGGTCATCACTAACAAATTTGGAACTGTCTTAGGGATTAAGGAGTCAGCTTTTTCTTTTTGTTCTTCCCTTATAGTTTGCAACTCTGGTCCTAATTTAGTAACTTTCAAACGGAATTTCACTCGGATTCTTATTCAATGTTCAGTTCGAGTGAGGAGTACCCCCCCCCCCAAAAAAAAAAAATTGATGAGAAAAAGTCTGTTGTAGATTTGCTTAATACTCATTTTCCAGCTCTCCTGAATTTAGTAGGTCCGATTTCAAAACGATTTCTATATTTCTGATCAATTTGTATTCAACTTTCCTAAAATTTGGTATTCTGATGAACGTGTTGGGTTTGTTACTAAGTGGCCATATTTTTTAAGCTTTTATATTTATTATGTTTACGATTTGAGGATTAACATCTTCCTATTCAAGAGTTTGTATGTGTATCGATAGAGTAACTGTTCGCTGTTACTTAATTATCCTTCCGCCTGGTTCATGTAGGGTTGTAATCGACAACGACGCTAGTCAAGACGCCACCGTTATCCAGGTAAAGCTTGCTTTCCTTCGTGTTTAGGTTTCACAAAATTCGATTGGCACCGAGTTGTCGAATACTTTGCCACATTTTACTTTTCCCTTCTTCCGGTATTTTGTCCCATGTGTCCGAAGATGAAATTCAATTTTGAGTCGACAGGATTTTTAGTATTATCTTATGATTTGAATAATTTTTGCAGGTTGATAGCGTTAACAAACATGGGATTCTCCTGGATGTTGTCCAAGTTCTGACGGATCTCAACCTCATAATAAGAAAAGCCTACATTTCATCTGATGGGGTGTGGTTCATGGACGGTAATCTTCTTTTTCACTAGAGGGAGGCTAAAATGCGAAAGGCTTGAATTATTATTGTAATCATTACCATATTATTAATTAACTGCTCTGCTTTCTCATCTTAGTCCTAATTTTAATATCCCTTTTTCAGTGTTTAACGTGATTGATCAGAGTGGAAACAAAATCAGAGACAAGGAAGTCATTGATTACCTCCAAAGGGTTGGGACTCATAAGACTTGGCTTTTTTTAAATTAAATCGTTTTGTTGTATGTAAATTATTATCGTTTGCTTGGCATTTGAGAATGGGTCTTTGCTCTTTCTGTATGGAAAAAAGAAAAGAAAATATCTTCAGCCCAATTAAGCAGGACTCAATATAAGAATTGGCCAATTGCATGAGCTATCTATGAATTAGTTAATTGAAGTTATATGGAGGAGGAAACTGTTCGTTTATTGTTGTCCATTATTAGATGTGATTCCCTCCAGTAAACTACTTTTCCTGAACTCTGATATTGGATCTACTATGAATTTTCTGGATTCTTGCCGGAGACACTAGTTTCTGGACTCTGAAGTCTAAAGCATGCAACACTTGCTTTATTATCGTTGTGTTAACTGCTAATTCATTATGGTCAGCACAGAAAGCAACATAAAATTATTAAAGGAATCTCAGTTTTCCGAATTTGTGATTATTGAACTTATCATCACTATGTTGGCCCAATAAAAAAAGTAGTTATCAACACCATACTGCTGGCTAACTGCTTCATCCCCACCCCCCCCAAAACCATACTGCATGGATTCTTCTTTTGGGTGGAATAATAAATACTCTTATACTTTTATCAATGATATATTCGGTCCCTTGATGTTTGACTATCTAAATTGTAGTTTTTGATTCCCTGACAGAAACTTGAAAACAATCCCGGGTTTGTGCCTTCATTGAGAGGGTCTGTAGGGGTTGTTCCTTCAGAAGAGCACACCTCGATTGAACTCACAGGCACAGACAGGCCTGGTTTACTGTCTGAAGTCTGTGCAGTTCTTGCAGATCTTCACTGTAATGTTGTAAATGCTGAGATATGGACACATAATACCAGAGCTGCAGCTGTAGTTCATGTGACTGATGATTGCAGTGGGCGTGCTATCAAGGATTCTTCCCGTCTCTCTACTATAAGGGACTTGCTTTGCAATGTCCTTAGGGGGGACAGTGATCCGAAGACAGCACGAACAACACTCTCACCGCCTGGAATTACAAATAGGGACAGAAGGCTACATCAGATTATGTTTGCTGACAGGGACTATGAAAGGGTTGAAAAAGATGGAAATGGGGGAATCAGAGATAAGAGCTCATTCCCCCACGTAAACGTGTTAGATTGCATTGAGAAAGACTATACTGTTGTCACCATGAGGGCAAAAGATAGGCCAAAACTGTTGTTTGATATTGTTTGCACCTTAACAGACATGCAGTATGTAGTTTTTCATGGTGTAGTCCGCACAGATGGGACTGAAGCCTATCAGGTTAGACCCACCTGGCATTTGTTTTCCACTTCCCTTTTGATCCCTATTTTTTAATCTTGACGAAGCTTCTTCCTCCCTCCCTTATCTAGGAGTTTTATATTCGGCATGTCGATGGTTTTCCCATAAACTCAGAGGCTGAGCGAGAACGTCTTGTACAGTGTCTTGAAGCAGCCATTGAAAGGCGAGCATCTGAGGTGCGTAGCAATAACCAGTGAACAACTAGAACCTGTGCTTCTAACAGTTCCTTTTCGGTTATATATTACATGGTAAGGTAAAATGTCTGTGTGCAGGGGATGGAGCTCGAGCTATGCACAGAAGATCGTGTAGGACTCCTTTCAGAGATAACAAGGATATTCCGGGAGAACAGTTTATGCATCAAGAGAGCAGAAATATCAACAGAAGGAGGAAAAGCCAGAGACACTTTTTATGTCACAGACGTGACTGGGAACCCAGTTGACCCCAAGATCATTGATTCAATTCGCAGACAGATTGGCCAGACAGTACTTCGGGTGAAACACGACTCGTCGAGTCTTCCACCAAAATCCCCTCACCGGACAACGTTCGGGTTCCTCTTTGGGAATTTCTTTAAAGCTCGATCTTTTCAGAATTTTAAGTTGATAAGATCTTACTCTTAAAATCTTACCTTCCTATTTATTCTCAGCATTAATCATCATCAGCCCTCTCAAACCAAATGTAGAGGTCAACGACACGGTAAATATGCATCTTCCTCACTCAGGAGGGGCAGGTAGATTCATCCTGCACATAGTCGTCTGTATGTGTACAGAAGTATGTTACACGGGTCTTACGTAGAGTAAACTAGATTATCAACAAGAAATAACTTTGGGTTGTACGTATGGAGTTAAGTTTGGTAGTTTTACACATGTATATAATGGTGGGAAAGGTGCCTTGGCCAAAGAAAATGGCGGGAAAGATGTAAATATTTCAAAATTCTGTGTATATAATTATATACTTTATTTCCTGCATAAGTCGACTACATTATTATATCTTTTCATCTGCATGGATTTTTATCTATGGCCTTGCACTTGAAAAAAAAAAGTAAAAAACTGTTATCTGTATTTTTTTTCGGAGAGTGATATTATTTAATGATTCTCTAAGGAAATATGGTGTCATTCTCTGATTTGGACAGGTGTTTCTGTGCTTGTAATCGTGGTTAACTTCATAAATGAAAAATTAAGGAAAGAGAGTTTTTGATGTCTCAGGCGAGGGTTTTAAAATTGACCAAGATGGTGTGAAAAAAATTTAGTTGGACATAAAGAAGGAATAAAATTGCAAAAATGATAAAAGTTAAGTTTGATCTTCATTTATTATAGGTTTTGTTTTGTCATGGATAATTTTCTCGGTAGGAATTTCATTTTCAGTCAAATTTTAAAGTATTTTTTTATGAATTTGAAGCGTATATTTTGACGTATGATATTAATAGCATGATTTTGTATAAGAATGAATTCTTTTTTGTTTTATTTAAAAAAAATTCCGAAAATATTGTTAAATTATTTGTCCTTTTTAAAACACATTTGACATGGAGCATATGTCTATGAATATGAACACACTTTTTAAAACTGAATATAACAAAAATTTAATTCATCAAATTGCACACTCCAAAAAATCTCATTTTCAGCATGACCTAAACCGAGTTAAATTCAACTAAACCAGCTTCAACTTAAAAGTTTAAACGAATAAATCTAAAATTATATTAAACCGGAGGTGGAGGAAGAAAAGGAGTTGGAATCATTTTATGGGGAAAACTTGATTAACTTCATTCGAAAATGTCTTCATCCAAGTGGAAGGAAAGGAAAGGATGGAGCACGAGAAAATGAAATGGAAATGAAACATATAGCAAATGACCAATATTATGAAAGAGAGTATTTAATATCATGCCTGTTTCATTTTTCAATGGCCAACAATTAATTTGTCAGAAATTCATTTGACAAAAATAAGTTTGACAAAAATAAGTTATCATAATAAAATTTATATTTAAATATATTATTTTCAAAATCAGTTTGCTAAATCAAAAATTGTCTATATTATATATAATAAAAAGTCTAGATGCACTTTTTTTTTTCAAAAGTCAATTTCTTAAATTAAAAAATGTTTGAATTATATATAATAAAAATTACTTTTAAGTGTAAAATTACAAATGATATTGATTTTTATAATTTATAATTTTTATTATACAAATAAAATATATTAAAAATGTTTGAAAAATATATGATAAAAATAATAGGGTAATTAAATGTTTGTAATAATAAATAAGAGATAATAAAAACATTAATAAGTTTTACATTCAATTTTTTAAAAATATATAAAATAAATAAAAGTATTTTCTTCTAAAAGTATTTTTATTTTAAAATATGGAGTATTTAATTTTAGTGATTAGACAATTTAATTACCTTTGACCCATAAGCCTAAATAAAAGGTCTCAAAAATACCCCCACCATTAGGTTGAAATCAAACTCAAAGCACTAGCCTAGATGCTTCACTGCAAAACAATTAGAATTGATAGACGCGGTCATCAATGACTTTGCCTTGTATTATCCAAATGTATATTTCAAAAGCTTCAAGTTCATAGACAAATCAAGTATTTTCAAGGACTGAAAATGAACTCTTCGAAAGGACAAATATATATAGGACGCATGTAAGCCAAAAAAGGGACATCAATTTTAAATCAAAGTATTACCACATTATAATGACATGCATATTCGCCAGACTAGGATACCTTTACATGCCATATTCAAGCTTCATAATCAATGTCATTTTTCCCACAATGGACAATGGCAACCAAATCATGCATCAAAGGATGCAATGATCATCAATCTTTGCAAGTGCGCTGATAAGAGAAATTTGTTATATTCAAGCCGTATAATCAATCTCATTTTTCCCACAATCGAACAAGGGCAGCCAAATCAAGCATCAAATGATGCGACAATAGATACCTTTGCAAGTATGCTTGAAAGAGAAATTTGTCAAATAAAAATATGTTTATGAAATAAATGAGAGGACCACAAAACAACAAAAACATGAAGAGTTGGAGATGCAAAGCAAGAGTAAACCCACTTTTAATATATTTATGCACATCTAAATGAGGCATCAAATCATATAATTGCTACTGAACTTCATAATAGTGCATTAATGGTCCATTGCCAGATGTCAAAGTAAGGAATTCAATTTTAAATCAAAATACTAACATTTGTCTAGCAAGCCAAATATACCATTTCTACGAAAAACAAAGCAGCTTAGTATTTCATGTTCATGGCTCTAAATCACACTTAATCATCCCACATTTAGATATAAGCATTCATAAAAGAGATCAAACGATACGCTGGACAACAATCATTCAACAGTCCACATGGAAGAAATTTGCCAACAAAAGACAAATATATAGCATATATGTAAGGGGGCTACGAGTAGTAAAGACACAGAATCTAAGTTAAAGAGGAAAAGTAGACCCCCCATAGTTCCATTTATGCACATTTAGATTAGGCATCAAATGATATAAATGTCATTGAGCCTCGCAGGAGTGCATTGCATATGTAGATTCGAATACCAAAGAAGGGGCATCAATTTTCAATCCATATATTACCATATTTTAGATAAGCCACGTATGATATTAAGAAGGCCCAAAGACATGCATCTAAGCCAAATTAGGACACCTTTACATGCCATGTTCAAGCCTCCCACTTTTCCTACAATGGACAATGGCAACCAAATCAAGCATCAAAGGATGCAATGATCATCAATCTTTGTAGGTGCACTTGCAAGAGAAATTTGTATATTCAAACCTCTTAATCAATCTCACTTTTCCCACAATCGAACAAGGGCAGCCAAATCAAGTATCAAATGATGCAACAATAATCAATCATTGCAAGTGTGCTCGCATGAGAAATTTGTCAAATAAAACTGTTTATGAAATATGTGAGAGGACTACAAAACAGCAAAAACATGAAGAGTCGAAGATGCAAAGCAAAAGCAAACCCCTATTGAATATATTTATGCACATTTGAATGAGGCATCAAATCATATAATTGTCATTAAAGCACATAATGGTGCATTAATCGTCTGTGCCAAATGTCAAAGCAAGGAAATCAATTTTAAATCAAAATACTAACATTTGTCTAGCAAGCCAAATATACTAATGCTACGAAATACAACACAATTTGTATTTCATGCTCATGGCTCCAAATCACACTTAATTATCCCACATTTAGAAATGAGCATTCATAAAAGATATCAAACGATACTATGGACATCAATCTTTTAAATGGTCCATACTAAAGAAATTTGCCAACGAAAGGCAAATATATAGCATACATGTAAGAGGGCTACGAGTAGCAAAGACACGAAGAGTCTATGCTAAAGAGGAAAAGTAGACCCCCTATGGTTTTATTTATGCACATTCAGATTAGGCATAAAATGATACAAATGTCACTGAGCCTCGTAGGAGTGCACTGCATATATAAATTCGAATATCAAAGTGACATCAATTTTCAATCCAAATATTACCATATTTTAGATAAGTCATGTAAGATATTCCGAAGGATCTGAAGACATGCATCTAAGCCAAACTAAGACACCTTTCCATGCCATGTTCAAGTCCTCAATCAATCCCAATTTTCTCACAATAGATAAGGGCAACCGAATCAAGCATTGAAGGTGTAATGACCATCAATCTCTACAAATGCGCTTCCAAGAGAAATTTGTCATATTCAAGCCTTTTAATCAATCTCACTTTTTCCACAATTAAACAAGGGTAGTCAAATCAAGCATCAAATGATGCAATGATAATCAATCTTTGCAAGTGTTTGCAAAAGAAATTTGTCAAATAAAGACATGTTTATGAAATATGTGAGAGGACTATAAAGCAACAAAAACATGAAGAGTCTAAGCTACAAAGCAAATGTAGCCCCCTTTTAAATATATTTATGCACATTTAAATGAAGTATCCGATCATGCAATTGTCATTGAGCCTCATACCAGTGCGTTAATAGTCCATGGTCAAATGTCAAAGTAAGGAAATCAATTTTAAATCAAGATACTACCATTCGTCTATCAGGCCAAATATATGAATGCTTTAATTCAAAAGGCAACTTCATATTTCATGCCCAAGGCTCCAAATCATTCTCAATTTTCCTACATTTATATACGGGAATTCATAATTACCAACAAATGATGTAGTGAACATCAAGCTTTCCAAAGGTTCATACAGAAGGAATTTGCTCGCCAAGGACAAATATAAAGCATACATTATGGAGGCTACGAGTAACAAAGACATGGAGAGTTTAAGCTAAAGAGAGAAAGCCTGCCATGATTCCATTAATGCACATTTAGATTAGGCATCAAATGATACAAGCATCACTAAGCCTCATAGGAGTGCATTGCATATATAAATTGGAATAACAAAGAAGGGACATCAATTTTCAATCAAAATATGGCCATTTCATAGAAAAGCCACATATGATATTCCAAAAGGTTCAAAAACATGCATGTAAGCAAAACTAGGACACCTTTGCTTGTCATATTCAAGCTTCTTAACTAATCCCACTTTTCCCACAATGGGCAAGGGCAACCAAATCAAGCATCAAAGGATGCAATGATCATCAATTTTTGCAAGTGTGCTTCTAAAAGAAATTTGTTAGATGAATATATGTTTAGCAAATATTAGAGAGGGCTACAATGTACCAAAGACGTGAAGAGTCTAGGCTGAAAAGAAAAGGTATAACCTCATTAAATATATTTATATTTAGATGGGGCATCAAATCATATAATTGTCATTGAGCCTTGTAATAGTGCATTAATATCCTTGGTCATATGTTAGAGTAAGGAAATCAATTTTAAATCAAATTATCAAAAACAACCATTTGTCCAAGAGGTCAAATATACTAATGTAACAAAACACAAGGCATCTTTATATTTCATGCTCAAGACTCCGAATCATTCTCAATGATCACACATTTATCTATGATCATTCATAATAAGGAATTATTAAAGATGCAGTGGACAACAAGCTTTTCAAAGGTGCATAAAGAACAAATTTGTCAGCAAATGACATATATATATATATATAGCATACATGTAAGGGGGCTACGTGCAGCAAAGGCATGGTGAATCTAAGTAGAAGAGGAAAAGTCAACTCCACATGATTCCATCTATGCGCATTTAATGAAGGCATCAAATGATACAAATGTCATTAAGCCTCGTAGGAGAGCATTATAGATACAAGTTCCAATACCAAAACAAGGGCATCTATTTCAAATCACAAGAATGTCATTTCTTTAGAAAGCACATATGTTGTTCTGACCAAACACAAAGCATTCATGAAAAAGAAATTACAACAGCTTAGCTTTTAAAATTTGAGTAAATTTCCAAATTCAGATATTTGCTAACGCAAAGTTTTCAAACACCACTTTATGGAATACAAACAGAAAAAGAAAGAACGATTTTTATTCAATCGGCAGCTAAGATACACAGCACATTGTAGTTGTTTATAAACCCACATATAATATCTTTTGAAAATACATAAAGGATGTGCTTTAGGCCCGCAAGAAACAAAAATAAATAAATTACGAAGTGCTTTATTTTGGTACAGCCATGTTTTTTGCACGTAATATGCGCTTGTCATGATAAGATTCTCCTATCAAGTCTAACTCTAAATAACCTCTTAGTTTGTAATGATAAGATTCTTCCGCAAATGATTCAATTTCAAGGTTAAAATCAAACTCAAGAAATTTATGGGTGATACTGGCAACCCAAACATGTTAAAGGCTAAAAGCAAACCCCGACATCTATCTTTGCACCTTGTATTAGGCCACCGATAATTAAGCTTATACCGTCTCAGGCTCTGTCCACCGTTGAATCAAAATATGATGTGAGAATATCTATATAAAGCCTCAGAAACATTCAACGTCAGGTACAAAAGATGTCAATATAAAACCAAAGGCTAAAATCAAAATATAATAAAATCAAAGCAAACATAAACAAAAAGAGAAATTGATCTTTCTACAGGAATTGCGAGTTAAAAAGGTTAGGAAAAAAATACAATACCTATTCAGAAGACTGGACCTGGATCTTTCTACAGGTATTGCGAGTTAAAAAGGTTAGGAAAAAAATACAATACCTATTCAGAAGACTGGACCTGGAATTTCTCTTTCTTTTTAATATTTCCGACGCACCGGAGATTTGAAAACTTTTTGTTAGATCAGAGACAAGCAAAACATTGTACGCTAGTAAACTAGACGGGCCACTAGTGCTGAATCTAAAACGATTTCCAAACCTGATTCATGCCCTCAAGCAGCGCACATTTCCTCCTCGGGAGATTAATTCGTGAAGGCTGGGATCGATCCATCAATCTGCTGGGCGCGAAAGGAAGAGAAGAGGAAAACCATATTTTAGCCGTTTGATCATCTCGTGTCAGTCAAGAAACCCACAATTTTACCCTCGCCCGCGAAGGTCGGCGCTTGGAAATGACCGTTGGGATTAGGGTTTAGATTTAGACGTGAGGGGCGCGGCTGCGCAAGGGTTTCATAAGCTAACTGGGCCTTTTTTTTTTTTTTTAAATTGGAATCACAAATTGTAAAAAAATATTTAACAAAGAATAAGTATATTTCTCACCGGAAAAGTAATTGGCAGGGTTCCCTCTTTCGCAATTACTGCATTACACGCTTCTTTCTGAAAAGTGATTAAATAAAATTTGAAAAATAAAAAATTTTAATTAATTTGAAAAAGTATCGTATTTGCTTATTTAAAAAATTTACTATCCATGTTATCCTTTGTAAATAAATTTTTTACATTTATTTACTTTAGAAATAAAATTAATTAACTCTAACGGAAATTACTGTCATGAGCTAACCGTAAGACATCAATAATCTATATCTACAATCTTATTTATTAATAATTATATAATCTATATCTATATATAATATATTGTAATTAAGGTCGGATGGGCATGGTAAATCTATAATGCCCCTCTGAGTAATGTGGGCCCTGTGGTAAATGAAATTGGCATGGGACCTGAAAAAATAAATTATTAATAGGAAACTCGTATATAAAAAAATAAAATATTTTGTCCTGCCCTTTATTTTATTTTAATTAATGATACTTTTTTTTATTTTTGAAATCTATATTAACCTTTTTTAGTATGTATAGCTATAAAATACAAAATTTTTTTTATTTTCTGCTTAACCATTAATTGACTGTTAAGTCACATATGTTAGGTTAAAATACATTTCTTTAAATATAAATATTATCTAAATTTCATTTAAATTATCCAAAAAAAATTAATTTTTAATTAGTTAAATGTATTTATTTTGTAATTTTAAATAAAATTAAATGTATAAATTGGCCAAAATAATATTCACACACAATCAATGGACTCAGAAAAAAGAAAAAAATAAAAAAAATAAATTTTTAACAATTTGAGATAGTTAAACTAATTTGATTAAATCCAAAAATTAGAGGTGTCAAAGTGAGAATTGATTACAAATGGAGTCAACTTTCACTTTAACACCTCTGGTTTAAATTAGATATGAATTAAGGGTTTAAAGGGGGTAGGGTCAACAGGAAATTTTAATAAATGAAAATTTTAAAATAAAATGGAGCGGTGTGATTTAAAATTTTTAATTAATTTTATGACAAAATTTTAATTTATTCCACTTAGCTTTTTCTTTGCAATTTCTCTACATTAAAAATTTTCAATCTCATTTATTTTTTTAATTCAATTGATTAAAATCTTCTCTCTCCATTTTAAAAATGCAATATAAGAATATATTAAATTTTATTCTTGTTAAGTTATTAAGAATAAAAGCCCAATATAGGTGCAAGGCTTCTGGGTTACGTGTATTCATATAAATACAACAAAACCCTTTATAGAGAGGGAAATTAGCTGCACGATTGAAGGTGTTGAAAGGAGAAATAGTTCCCAATTCCAATCAGGCCTCAAACAACTTAAAGCTCAACTCTGGTATGATGATCATGAAGTTATAACTTAAGAAGAATTATATTGGTTAGGTGTAAGTGGCTATAGGTTGGAGATAAAAATACAAGGTTTTTTTTATGCCTTCATAATCTCTAAATGTAAGGGGCAAAAAATTTCATCTCTTAAAGATTAAAATGGAAATTGAGTACAAGAGTCGTCATCTTTGAAAAATATGGCCAATCAATATTTCAAGGGACTTTACACCAAGGATTTAGAGCTAACTAATAATGTTAAGTAGTCCATCAGCTTTCCCAAGTATTTCTTAGATAGAGCTAGATTGGATTCAAAGAAGAATTGACCTTACTAAAGTAAAAATACTGCTTTTTTTATTGGGGCTTTTAAGGTACTAGGATCGGATGGCTTGCAAGAACATTTCTTGTAGACTCAATGGAATCTAGTAGGCTATAAAATCTTTGTTTTGGTTTAGGATTTATTCTCAAACTTGAGTATGGTTAAGGATATTTATCATACTAGTATTGTCTTTATACCAAAGGTTGAGCACGCCACCTTCTTTAAAGGAGTTTCGGCCAATCTCTCTATGTAATATGAGTTTCAAAATCGTTACAAAACTTCTTGCCAATCAATTGAAGGTTGTGATGAATGGGCTTGTAGCTCAAGAGCATTGCAGTTTTGTCTTAGGAAAAACAGGCTATGACAATATCAGTATTGCTTGGAAGGTTATTCACATGATAAGAATGAGTAAATAGAAGAAGGCATATGTGGCAATTAAGGTTGGCATGGAGAAAGCTTATGACCAAATGGATTGGAGTTTCATCCAAGATACTTTAGTACAAATTGGTTTGGAACACCACTTTTTTAATCTAATCATGGCCTGCATTAATACAGCTTCTATACGAGTGTTGTGAAATGGGGAAAATGGTCTAAAATTCCATCCTTCTAAAGGCATTAGTCAAAGAGACCTACTTAGTCCATATATTTTTGCACTATGCATGGAACACTGGGCCAGCTCATTAAAGAAGAATTTGCTGTAAACTGATGGAAGACATCTAGATTCAGAACGCAACGCTCGTGTATCTCCCATTTTTCCTTCAGGGATGATCTTGCACTCTTTACAGAGGCTTTAATACAACTAATAGAGGCTATCAAGAAAGTAGTGTAGAAGTTTTATGTTGCATCGGGCTATAAAATTAACATGGATAAATCTAAAATGTTTTGCTCAAGAAGCATTTAACTTAATCGAAGGCTTAAGCTTAATCAAGTTTTAGGTGTTAAAATTACAGTTGATTTAGGGAAGTATTTAGGGATCCCTCTTATGTATTCACATGTCACAAAATTGACATTCAGCTCAATTGTCTAGAAGGCAAGACAACATCTCTCACCTTGGAAAAGTAAGTTCTTGAGTACAATTGGTCAAATTGTTCTCATTAAGGCAGTCCTTTTAGCACTTCCTAGCTATCACATGTAACCAACTTTACTCCTTAAGGGTATTATTCACGATCTTGATAAGCTTAGTAGAAATTTCCTATAGAGTCAAATGAGGAACTTAAAAAAATGTACCTTGTAGCTTGGAAGCAAGTCACGAAGACTAAGAAAGATAGTGATCTTGGCATTAAGAATTTAAGGTAACGGGATGTGGTTTTCATAATGAAACTTTGTTGGAGTTTGACAATTGAGATTGAAGCCTTATGGGTACAATGTTTAAAATCAAAGTACAAGTGTGGGGAAACTCCTATCCTTGGGGTTTGAAAATTTAGAAATGCTTTTCTCACGTGGCAGTCTGTTTTTGAAGCATGGGATACTTTTGAAGGTAGCCTTCTTAAAGAGGTTAGTAAAGGTCAATTAATGAAGTTTTGGTAGGATCTCTAGAGTCCTTTAGATAGACTACTCATTAAGTGTGCTACATAATATAGTTTAATCAACCTTCGAGATAGTGTTCGAGATCATGTTTTACTTAATAGTTAGTGGAGGTAGAGAGGCAGGGGGTGACCCTGCCACCTTGGGTGATTCTCCTCCTTTTATAGACTCAACCTTTTGTGTCAATTGAAGAGGATTCCCTATACTGGTGCCACTTGGTGAAGGACCAATTTACAATCAAAAGTGCTTATGATTCCCTCTTCAGCCATGGAGATGGAAGGGAGTCTTTAATATGGTGTAGACAGTAAGGAGGTGATTCTATGAACAAAGTATGCTAACTAGTCATAGTACATGAATGAACTATTTAATCCCTTTATCCCAAACCAAACAGATGAATAAGCTACTAGATAGTTAAAAAGAATATGCGAAGGTCTGTGAATAGACTCAGAGCTTGTTGACCTGGATTAAGGGTTTGCCCAAATAAGTTTAAGATAACGAGGTTAAGCCATTAAAGTATGAATTCATGCCAGAGCCAAAAGGAAAATAGATGGAAAAGAGTGTTTTTAAAAAGAGTGAAATAGCCTAAAAAGAGATCATTAAGGGATAATGATGGTGGTGAACTTGGGAAAAACAATAAGACTTGTTTTGACATTAGTACTTAAGAAAGAAATGGCTCCTTGGGGATGCTACTTGGAAAGCTAAGGAAAAGATAGAGTAGTAGTGCCTTCACTAGTTTCAATAGGAGTGTATTGTTATTAGTTGTTTAATTTTTAGGGATAAAATTCTTAAAAGAAGGAAAGAGTTGTAAATTTATAAATTTAAATATAAAAGGAACTGAGTTAGAGACAGTTATTGGGTTTGGTTTTAGCTTTTAGATTAGGTCCAGAAGTGAATTAAGTCTCTTAAACTCAAATTGTAAAAAAGAAATAGATTTTGGTCTAGTGCATTATGCTGTAGCATAATTTTCAGAATTAGCTTTTTTAAAAATGTGAAAAAAGGGTCTAAAATAGGGGGAGAAGACCAACAACATAGGGAGGCGATGAAGAGAGTTGTTCCTCTACTAGGGTATCAACTCTTAGGCATTTTAAAGGTAATTGGAATTTGATTTCACCTAGGTATGTCTTCCTTATCTCTTCTTCTTCTCTCTACATGTTTTAGAGGTGAGATTTGAAGTTGGAAGATGATGATTTTCAAACTTAAGGCTATAGGTCTAAATTCATTAGTCTAAGTGAGACTAATAAAAGTTGTTTGAGTTATCTAAGCCTAGATATAGTGGTTTTATACACCTGTAAGAGTGAGCTCTCAATTATAGATGAAATTATACCTTAAAATGTCATGAATGGTGGTGCATGAGGTAGATGGCTGCCATTGATATTAATTAAGGATTGTGTTAGTGTTAGTTATAGTTAATGAGAGCTAATAAACCTAATGTGATAATTAAACTCAATAGTTTAGAGCATTAGGTTATTAAAGTGTTGAAATTTAAGAGTTAGAAGTTACTAATCTGTGACATTGATGATGATTTGGGTTGTTAGATTATATATTAGTGATTATTTAAGTTGAGAGCTAAATGAAATTATTAGGAGTTAAAGAATTCATTGAATGTAGGGTTGATTTTATAGTTGAGAAATTTAGTTATTAAAGTATGAAATTAAATATTGAAAATAGTGATTTTATTGACTAATAGTGACGGGTGTTAATGTAATTGTAGATTAACGTCAGGAAGCACTGGTGAGTTTGCAT